TAGAAATAACAGTACAGCGTTTGAACTGTTATTATCTTGTATCCATTTACATGTTATATTTTCTAGTTTTTATGTATTCTCGTACAACGCCTGTATGTTTTGGTTCTGAGAAATAATTAAGATAATTATTTTACTATTATAACTGGCCAATAAGTATCTGCCACTTTTCTTATATTATTAATCTATTTATCATATATACAGGTAATATACAATAATCTCGCTTAAGATATAGTATTATTATTCTATTTTCAATAATATTATAATAGTTATATGAATAGAAACTTGACCGCATCTAATCCATCAATGTGCGCTATTGTTGCACATTGGAATATAAATACATTTTTATATAAAATTTGTATAATCTACATGAATCGTTTTAAGTATATCTTTTCTTTTAATCACAAAAGATACAAATGTAATTATTACTACGCAAGCTGGGGGCCAAGGGCGGTTTCACTCTGGCAGTAGTATCATAGATATAATTCTAAATCTGAAGTTTCGTAAAACGAAAAATCAGTATCTTTGAAAGTTTGTGCTAATTCTGATATATAGAATTTATTTTCTAATACTGATACTTCGTGTAAAAGTTGATTCGTTTTAAATGTTTGATTTTATATAAATTTATTATCCTTGTTTCACATTTTGTGAATTTAAAACAATGTTAATTTATTTGTTTTAAATACGAATGTTTCTTCTGCTGTAAAAAATAACTAAAATAATACGTTTATTAACATAATTATTATATATATATATATATGATTTATTTTTACATTTTAATGTAGAAGATACATATTAATAATTATGTTAATAAACGTATTATTTTAGTTATTTTTTACAGCAGAAGAAACATTCGTATTTAAAACAAATAAACATTAACACTGTTTCAAATTATTTGACATTAAAATTAAACATACATATGTATATAGGTTTCGATGTATCTTTAGAGTTTTTGTACGTTACGAAAATATTTTATTATTCTTGTCAATTATGTACTTTTGATAAATTTTTTAAAATATTCCGCTATTGAAAAAAGAAAGAAATACAAAAGTTCTCTTATTAAATGAAAATAACAGTCCGTCGATAAATTCAATATTAATTTATAAATTTTTAAATAAAGATAAAAATTTGTTCAAAAAATTAAAGAAATATTTCCAACGTAACATAACGCGACATAAATATTTTTGATGTATGTATCTTTATAAAAACTCGAAAGACACACCGTGTTGAATATGATTCCCAGTGTGAAGCCCGATATGCCCGCAATTCTCTTCTTCATCTGTTGTCACTAATCATCTAAAGGAAAGGAACACTATATGCGCTATATCCATCAATAAGCAGGGTAATTCACAACAGATGAACGTCTTATCTATTTTTTTTTTTTTTTCGATTAAAACTTATTTACAAAAGTTGCTGTACAATCGTAGTTCTGTTGTGATGTAGGTCCATCATAGCCTTGAATGCGAGTAGACCGGTTCTAAAGTAAAGATTGTATTGCAAGGAAATCTTCAAAATGAAGTCTTTGAAATAGCACAGCACATTTTGTCAAGCAAATATTCCAAACTTATAAAATTGTTATAATTTTCAATGGTATATTAATAGTAGTAGTAGGTTAATAAAATTATTCCAATGCTGTGTACATATTGATCTCAAAAGCCCACCTCTTTTCGATATAAAATTTTTTAAATGTGCTATACGATTTTGTAAAATTTATTAATAAAAATTTATCAATTTATCGTACCAAACATAATATGAATTATATATAATTCTATCCTATGGTAGATTTTCTGAATATTGTCTGTGTAAAAACTTATTTCGGAATTAAAAAATGGATAAATGGCAATGTATATAAAATGTATGTAAATATCTCGATCGTATTGCACATTTATCTCGTATCGGACAAATATATTTCTCCATAATATTAATCTATATGTTTGTGCAAAACATTATTCTATATTTGATATTGAAAAATTGGTTTACCATTGTTTTTTTTTTGAACACAATTAATATAATTGTGGTATAACTGCAGTGGTCAGTTCTGGAACATATGCCCGGCACAATGTTACGTAATTTTTACATATTTCTATGGGAAATAAAAATTTTCAACGTCAAAAGACTAAACATAATCCATGCAATAACATCTTTACAAATAAGCACTATTACGTGGTGCTTTGTTTCGTCTATTAATTAAAAGTTATTATTTTTAAATCTAATAATATGCCCTAATTTTGTCAATAGGAATATTATAATTAGAGCTAAAATTTTTTTGTACCATTGAATTAGGTGAGAGCACCCAACAGTGACCCCAATACGTTTTTGAAATCGCTCGCTACAAGTATTTTCATTCGATCAGAAATATATTTGTAGTAGGATGCAAACTCGCTGACATTGTTTTTTTTTTTCTTGCGTCAGGGTCGCAATTTGATTATTTCTCTTACAAGGATGCCTGTTTTCTTTTATTCGAAAAGTGCTAGTATATCATCGCTTGACGAGGGGTTACCACTGCTAGCGCCGCTGCTGGGAGGGGTATTCAGATCTGGTGGATCTAGATATGAAAGTAGTTCCATTGGATCCACAACATTATCCGGCAAGAGCTATAATATAACGTGATAAAAAATTAATATTACATGAACATACTTTATAAATATTATGTAAATATAAATTATTACTTACATTCAATGCTTCTTGACCTGTACCCTCACCATCTATTACCGCAGCTGGGTCAAAATTCAAGTCTGATGGTATATCTGTAGTATCGTTGGTTATGTTTGTATTCGTATTACCAGATGTGTTGAGGTTTCCAGTGGATTCTTGGGATGCAGGAGGAACACTCGGTGGACCACTATTTCCACCACCTGGTGTATGTGGTGTATGAGGAGTATGAGGTGTATGAGGCGTGTGAGGCATCTGTAAAAATAAAGAGAAAATATTTAATACTCATCTACGGAAATAATTCAGGTTATAGAATAATTCTGAATTTAACACCTACTTGATCGTTAAGCGATTTCTCCATAGCATTAAGAGGATCTAAAGAGTTCACCGATTCATTTAAGTGCGAAAGAGGTCCCCCTCCATTAGTATAATCGTTATTGGTATTCGTACTCGCTCCAGAATTAATATCGAAAGATCCTCCCGACGAATTCCGATGATTGATATTGTTGTTTCCGTACGTGGTTGGTGTATTATTCATCATAGAACCGCTTACGATGCTGCTCATATCAGGCGGTATGTACGGACTCATTGCTTGATTCATATCCCAGTTATTCATAGTAGGCATATTCATACTTCCAGGTGACATTGCCTTTGTCATTCTCTTGCAATCGCTTTCTTCTTCAGATTTAATACCAGTCAAGTTTTTCGCTGGTTTCCAGTTCGCCATTGAATCTATCGTAACCTCTTCCACTTCCGCAGTATTTAGAGTGTTTAAAATGCCCCACATATATTGATCAACTTCTAAACCTTCTAATTGTGCAGGTTTCCTATATAAGATAGAAACAAAGTTATTTGAAATTTAAACGAAATATTTAGTTTTGTAATCGAATATAAAATAGTTAAAAAAATTACTTACGTGCACACAGGACATCGCCAAGATCCTCGTTCGCAATTTAGCTGTAGATATGATTCCAAATCGAAGCACTGAATATGTTTACAATCATGTCCTCTAGCTGGCAGTGTAATGCGTTTAAAGGTAATAGGACATTTTAAGGATACCTGCAACAAGGAAGTTTGTATGATGAATATAATGTTTAAATATAA